TGGTTGACTACTAAAATTTTTTTCATTCTTCTGTTTATGACGTTGCAAATATTTAACCGCTCGTTCAACAATATCCATACGGTCAACTAAAGCCGCGCATATTTTCTTATTGTACTTAGCATTTTCGTATAATCTTGTTAGGTCCATCGCAATTTTTAAAACATTCGCAAATAGTGGTAGGAATGGTTGGATTGCAGCCATAGAGAAAGTAATATCTTTAGATCTTAAATCCACACCAAATTTGTTTTCTCCAATAGATTCAATCTCACTGAGTTTGGCAGAAGTATTGTTGAGATTTCTTTGCATTTCAAGTTTAACTCCTGATGAATCCTCCAAATTTAGTATCTCTAAATCCATTAATGAATTGCTAGCGATTTTGAGTTTGTTTTGAATACTAGAATATTCATTTTCAGATGATTGGGACTTTAGACAAATGTCATCATGGGATTGAGCGTTGGTGGTATCTGGAGTATTAATAATATCTGGAACAGCCACAGTAATTAATGAGTCAAGTGATTCTTTAACTTGAGTTATTTCAGGTCTTTCGTCTGGATTTTCTTTCCAACAGGCTAAACAAAATTAATTAAATTATTACCGATAGGTATAATTAAATAATTTTTTTAGATATTATCGGAACAACAGGCTATTCTTAAGTTTATAATTTATTTAACAAAATATCTAGTAAAAATTCTCCATACCTTTATAAATATCAACATACTCTTCGGAAGTCCCTTCGATCGGAGTTTCTCTGTGACCTAACAAAATCTTTGTATACAATACAACATCAGCCACAGATTCAAAAGGAGGACGGCCACTTGTAATTTCCCATAGCAAAACACCTAAACTATAGATATCAGACTTTTTATCTGGCTTATTATAGCAATTATTACTGGTAATTTTAAAGCTATTTGGGTCAATATATGCTAAAACACCGTGAAGTGAATTCATGGACTGAGTCTTTGATAGATTTTTTAAATTTCTAGCTAATCCGAAATCCGAGATCTTCGCATTTCCTTGATGAACAAGTATGTTTCCAGAATGCTAAAAAAAATATTACTAATAAAATAAAGTAATCACTAATACCTAAATGTTTAATTAAAACTTACCAAATCTCTATGAACAGTGTCTCGACTGTGCAAATAATGAAGAGCATCCGTAATTTGCTTAGCCATGCGTAGTTTATTATTCCAATTTAGTAAACAAAAATTTTTTTGAAGGTATTGACGCAAGGTTCCATCATTAGCATACTCTATTATTATAGAATATTCGATATTCTTTTTTTCTATATGAAGAACATTTTATCAATAATCATTATTCAAAATAAAGTAACATTTAGGATATTTTTAGTCGGTTACTTTGCAAAGCTATTACCTTTCTTGGTAATTCCATATAGCCTTAAAATGTTATCATTAAAATCGACATAGCTGTCACGAATAACAAACATTGTATTAATCAATACTATAGTAAAGAACTTTAAAATTGATAACCGAGTACAGTACCTCATTGATAAATAATTTTGCGGATTTTTCATCAGTAATTTTAACTTTTTTAATTGCCACTGTTATTTTTTTACTCCGCAAAAATGCAGAATAGACCTTTCCAAAAGCCCCGCAGCCTATTAATTCATGATTTTCAAAATCATCGTATTTAAAGATTTTTAAGTCTAATTTGTTTATAGAATTTTCAAGATTGCTAGCCCAACGATGCGTATCCATATTATTCAATGAAATGACGGAGTACGGTCAACTCTCGATAAAAGAAACTGTGTACAAATAGTCTATATATGTTGATGATCAAAGCATTAATTGAAAGTAGTTACGATCATCGAAAATTTTCCGGGTCCCGGTTTACTCGATATAAGAAAATCTGATACACGGGGGTTTTCGAAAAAATCCGAAATTTTTTTAAACGTAAAAAGTTACTACATAATAAACTTTTTATTTTATTAGGCATATGTGGTTTTATGTATTAAGTAAGTATAATATAGACAACTAAATACGTATACAGTGAAAGTTTTGCTAATTTATAACAACATTTTATTATTAGTGTTTAGGGTTTATATTTCGTGCGATGATTTTTTTTGATTTTTATTTTGATTATTATATTCATATTATTTCTATAACTAGTATTTTAACAAGTAATCTATAATTAATTAATATTGTTTATTAGGTTTTAATTACTTATAAATTTAATTATATAAATTTATATTAAATATTTAAAAAGTTATTTGATAAATAAAATTACTATTAAAAAAAATGAAAATTTAAATTATCATTATAAATTTAGAATTATAATTTTTTGTAAAAGTTTTTATTTTATTATATAAATTGATCTTAATAGATTAAATAATATATTTATTATAATGAATTCTATCCATAATGAATTTTTTTTTAATTTTAGTGAAATAATTATCACTTAAACTGTATTGTAGGTAAATTTGCCTACAATTTTATTTGTTAACAAAATCATTTTATATCTCCTGATGCATGTTACTCTTTAATCATGCATTCTTTCATTATGTATTTTAGCTTATTTAAATCTCTAGGATAAGGTTAATCTTTAATTATGCATTCTTTCATTATGTATTTTAGCTTATTTAAATCTCTAGGATAAGGTTAATCTTTTTTCTTAATAATCAAAGTGCAAATAATATAATAATATTCTTCTCAAAAATGTATCACAAAATAAGTATCAAATTTGCCAAAAATTGGCCTATAGATTAAGGGATAATATAATATATATAAAAAGTTTAACCTAAAATAAAAAAATCTAAGATTTATAATTCTATAAAATTTTTTGTTGCATTGAAACAAGAACATTCATATAATTATTATCCAAATCTAATTTAGAATCTTATTCAATAAAATCTAAAAGTATATTGATACATTTAATCACTATATCAGGTTTTACTTTTTTCTGTTAAACTAAATTAATAATATCTTTATTTGTAATATCTAAATTTACAAATGAATTATCAATTTCAATATAATAATTTATATCAATAACATCTTTATGATTATATAGTAATTGATTAATCAATTCTTCATTTCTTCTAAATTTTGCTATTGGAATGGAAGTATTTCTCCAGTAACAGTATTATTAGAAACAGTAGTTTGAGGATTATCTGTTTCTTGAGAAAATTGTAAAGGTAAAATAATATCAGTTTTTTTCAACAATTTAAAATAATATTAGAATTAATATTATTCCAAGCTTCCTTAATCCAATATATTGCATGCTTGATATTGATTTCTTCAAGAGTTCTTTCAATATTATATGTCAAATTAAACATATCCATCTTAAATTTATCAACAATCTTCTATATTGTGCCTATATAAATCAAATTTAATTAATATATTTAAATAATAAAATAATCAAATTTTAATATTTACCTTAAATAAATTAATTATTCCTATATCCATTGGTTATAAATAAGCTATTGTATTGGCAGGTAATGAATACAATATAAATATTTGACAAATCTTCAGATTTTAAAAAAATTTCACTAACATGGGCAGGTGCTTAGTTATAATAAAGAATAATAGATCTATTTTCTTCTTTCATTTGAATATTTAATTGAATTAAAAACTCATTTCAAATTATAGTAGTTATCCAAGCAGTTTTATTTCAATAATAATTAACTGAAAGGTTTCTCTCTTAATTTTGTTTAATATCCAAGGTGATTTAAAATAATAAATTATCAAAGGCTTAATTTTATGAAACCTAATAAAATATACAAATATATAAGTAAATAAAATATTATAAAAAATTAAATCTTTTAATATCTGTAAAATTTGAGCAAAAAAAAATTATTACTATTGGTTTATCCTTTTTTTTTCCAATTATTGCTTCTTTAACAAAGGATCTTGAAAATTCCATTTTTCAATAAAAACCTGTTTTATTACAGTTAAATATATTATCTAAAGATTAATCCTTTAGTAATTCTTATAAAAATTCTCTAAATCTGGAAAGTTTTTCCAATGGAGCACTACTTCCTTTTCCATGATATATAAATTATTTCAAATTTGCCCTTTTTTTGAAATTTATTAACCAGCTTTCTGATATATTAAAATCTAAAATTTTTAAAAGTTTTGCAAATTCCTGGACCTGATATGTTAAAATAAATCCTGTAATAATTAAATTTGTCTTTAATATGGGCCGAGTTAGAGACATCACCTGACAAAGTAAACAAAAAATGGAACTTACTCAGAGATGTGATACTACAGAGTGCTGCCCTCCACATTAAAAGATATAAAGAAAAAACAAGATCACCAAAACCACCGAGCCCCTCTACAGATATCCTGCACAAGCTCTCAAAACTCCAATCACTGAGAAAACAGCTTCTAGATAACAATGTATCACAAGTCCACACCCTCGACAAAATCAAAACTATCAAAAACAAACTTACCAACAGACACTCACTTACGATAGACCCAATAACCGAACCCCTCCACCCAGCCACTATCACAGACTGGATTCAAACAATTAAATCTATACAAACCACACACAAAATGACCTTCAACAAATTATACAGAGACAGACAAACAGAAGCTATCAATAATTGACTCCTAAGGAGACAAGCATACTTCAACACTAACAAGAAACAGATGATCAGGAATTTGCTAGACGATTCTCGAAGACACATCACATTGGATAAACTAATCACAAGCACACCAGAAGAAGCAATAATCACAAACCCAGAAAAAATCAAGGAAGCTGTCAGCATTCATTTCCAAAAATGGACCAGCAAGCACAACACCAAAGCTATTAACTCTACGATGTGGGAGGAAGAATACAAATCACTAAAACAAATTAACAAGGATTGGTATAGTAACACTACTGAGCCCATCACAACAGAAGAAATTCAGGAAACCCTAAAAAACTGTTCCACAAAATCAGCACCAGGACTAATGGGAATACCTTATATCGCACTTAAAAAACTAACCAAAGAATCAATCTCCTATATCACAGACCTCTTTAATAATATCCTTCAAACAGAAAAGGTGCCCAACAAATGGAGAACAGGCAGTATATACCCAATACCCAAGCCTAAAGCATGGAAAAACAACATCAACATAACAAGACCAATTATCCTTCTTGAAACAACACGAAAGATATTTACAAAACTACTCACTTACCGATTAACCAAAGTACTTACAAACCACCAAATTCTCTCTGAATATAACTGGGCAGCCCTCCCAGGTTGCAGCACGCAAGAACCTATTCACATTCTCAGAGCAATCCAGGATGATGCAAAACAAAACTCTAAAAAAGCCTGGATACTAAGCCTCAATATGGCAAAAGCTTTTGACTCAGTCAACATCCAAAGACTCGAACTGGCACTACAACAGGTCAAATGC